CGTTTTTCAATTCTTAACAGCTGTACCTAATGTAGTTTTAATGGCAATCAATACTTTCCACTCTTACTTTCTCTGCGCGTTGCATTTATTGTACTACACTTTTTATCCTGGTATTTCTTCAAGGGCTAACTTATACTAATACGAGTATAACTAGACATTAGTCAGTTGCGGTAAGTCTAATAGATAGGCATCTTCTATCGAGATTATTAAGCGTGTAGATACGCCAATTTTGCGCTCACGCAAGAAATTGTTATAAATAAAAGTATTTTCGTACCGTTACATAATCGAATTACAAAATGTTTACTTACTAATTCACATTGCGTCAATTTCATTAGAAGGTGATACCGATTTGAGCTTATCAAAATTTTTTCATAACTATGCTTATTTGAGTGGAAATTCTATAGTCGTCAAATTAATTTAGGAAAAATATTTCGGATCCCTAGTAACAGATAATTTGGGAACATTGTGTGGTACTCTGCATCTTTTACACGCCACAAATACAAATACCCCAACTCCCAAATACTGCTATATTGATTGTACTTTATACCGAGCATGTCATTCAATGTGTGTATTACACAGGTCTACAATGGTTTTGGTGCCGCTCAAAGTAAAACTGATTTCAAGTACATTTTGTACCCTGATAAAAATTTGATAAATGATTAAATGATTGTCCAGATAGTGTACTTTAATGCTGATATTACAACCAAGATTTTTAAAGTTAATTGAAAGGTTTTGTACTAATTCTTTGTAATTTTCGGCCTTTTGATTTCCTAAAACATTTTTTACAACAGCAACAAAAGATGTTCAAGCCGCTTCTTATAACGTATTCAATGAATGTATGAAATAGTTGTCTTTCATTAAAAGTGTCTGTGGGCCATCAAAAATACCAGCTTTTAGCTTTTCGTTACTTAAACCAGGAAACTTTCGTGAAAAATATAAAAAACACGGACCGGTTTTATCCAATGCCTTAACATATTGCTCCATAAGTCCCAATTTGATGTGCAATGGTATATATATATAATCTTATCTCTAGACAAAAAAGGAGTGTTTATAATAGTTTGAAATTAGTGTACCCACTTTGTTGACTTAACAGAAAGTTGACCATTTTTAAATCTACACATATAACCCATTGGTGCTCCGAGTAATTTAGTTTTTTTAAGACAAGATCCACATTTTGATACTCTTCTTTCAATTTCGTTGAATGAGCAATAGGTACAGCTGTATGTTCATTGCCATTATGTAGTAACAGACATTTTAAACTTCGCTTACAGCTATCCATAAACAATCTCCATTCTTCAGCCTTGTATGTTGAGAGACCCAGTTTCATTAATAGGCCACCAATGTTATTACAGTATACTATATCATTTTCTGAGCTGAAAAATGAGAGAAATTCTTTTTCGCGATCACGATAAAACGTTAATTTTGTACCTTGAGACAACAAATTTCTTTCTTTGAGTATGGATGCTAGGTCAAGGTTTCTAATTAAATCACTTAGATCATCTTGAGAATAAAGTAAAGGTGCTGTTGACACTTCAAAATCACCTCCTGTTCCTCAACAAAATCTTCCAGCATCTCTGTATCCGAGAAATCTAATAAATCGGAAGGATCTGAAATATCTTGAGTCATAGGAGATGGTATGTCATCTAAACACAGTTGAAGTCTTTTAGCAGACGTTAAATCAGGATATGTCATTTTTCTTTTATTTATACCATGTAATTCTACAGCACAAAAATAACAGTCGTTAAAGTGATTTTTTGGTTCTGCCCAAATCATTGGCGCACTATACTTTAAATGATGACGTTTACCCACTGTCCACTGTCGTAAATGTTCACTACACACCTTACATACAATGTTTGGAACCCACGGTTTGTCCAGAGCCTTCATCTCTATCTAAAAGTAATCAAAGTATGTTTTCTTTACTGAATTTGTTAAAGATTTTCTAAACTTTTGCACTACATATTCACCACAAATTTGACAAAATGTATGTGGATTATTAACACAACACCTTCTCGACGACAGCATATTGGTATTCTTAATTAACAAACGAAATTAGTTGATAACAATTAATGTTATTGATGGTATGATAAAACACATTTTTTAGTTCATAATCGATCGATACAAACCTGAACGTAGCTTCAATGTTTTGACAGCTTCACGCGCCATCTTATAGGCCAATTGGCCAAGTTATATCATAAAATTAGCGGCACCAAACAGAAAATATTTATTTGTAGGCCTGTGTTAGATATTAATATAATTTCTTAAAAACATAATCTCAAGTATACCTCAGCAATGTCAAAATTAGTTCAATCAGCCCACCGCTTTCTCTGTCTCCAATATAGGCCCTATTATAATTTCCGACTTTCCACCTGACAAAATGTATGATACTTGAATAAAATAAAATGAAGAAGTTTTCTTAAAAATGGGAATATGAATGAAATTAGTCTCCACTTTTGTCTATACCTTATATCCCTAAAATAAAGAATTACGATCCTCTGATTGACGTTTTCACATCAACTCATTATAATAAATCTAGCTTCTTCAGGTGAGTTTATATCCCATATCCCATATATCTATATCAATTGAAGATTATTTTAATACAATTTTAGCTGACGTAAAGTAAAAAATAGTAATAAAACCAAGTGAGTATATGGCCTATAATACAGCTTAATAAAATACAAATATGATTGTAATCCATTGACGATTTTGTCGAATAATTAATGTTGAATTGTTTCGCAATATTTTTTAATATAAAGTTCTCCTAAAACCGGAAGGTATTTTCTTTGCTTTGACTCTTGCAAGTTGCGTGAGTATAAAATGTTCGGTTCCGCCAATATTTAATGTATTGTACATCGGGGGTTAAACGATAAGTGCCAAAAAAGTTTTAAAACGCATTTAAAGGCTGATGGATTGGACTTCCCAACTTGTTAATGCTCTTTTCTTCAAAGCAACGTTCAAAATACAAATGAAGACTGTTTGACTAAGAACTATTATAAATTTGTTTGGAAAGGATCTATCATCTCTTGTTGAATGATGGCCCAAGGTATAGATTTTTAATCACGCTTTCTGGTAATTATCGTGCCCCGTAACCATTTACACTGTGGACACGTGCAGGTGAGATTTCGTGATACCATTTTTTGAAAACCGAAACATTAATGCTTGTCATGTAAGGGTGGTAAATTACATATATGTACATATGTATATCTTAATCTCGATAGATGTTTGGTTGTCCAATTAGAAAACTAATGGCATTTAGACTAAAAGAGAATTTTTTGTCAACAATACAGTCGCAAATTTTTTGTTGCTAATTGAGGTCTACTGCGGGGTATGGATTATTATTATTATTTATTTGAGTTTTTTTTAAGGATTAGACTTTCAGCGATGTTAAAATTAATGTACCCCCTCAATTTTTTTTAATATTGAATTCACTTCTGTCACAGGCGACCTTCTGAAAGTCCTTCACAAAAAGGTATCTACGTATTTATTTTCAAAGTAAATAAAACGAACGAAGGAATAGTCACAATTTTGACTTTTCACAAAGTGGCGCCTTCTAAACAATAAAACGCTTTTTTCGACAAAATAATAAATGTATATTTCAAAACAATTTTAACCGCTTCGGTATAAATAATTATGATCAACTTTAAATTTTCAAAAAACATACATAAATATAAGTACTTTCAAAAAATACCAAAAGCGATTTATCTATTTAAGGTTCATTTCCATTCCAAATTTCCAGTATTCACATATTTGATAATATTATGGCAGAGAAAATGGCCCACCCTAATTTATATAGATTGTCGAGAGTTATAGTAAAATTTGGATAGCACATAACTGCAATAAAACTGGAGTAAGTACATAGGAAAATAACACATGAGTAATGGAAATGTAATGTGATTAGCCCATATGAATATATCATAACTACGACGTAAACATTGTTAAGTTGGCATTTAAATTGTTGGTAGGAACGCATGTTTCAATTTCATTGTAATTTTTAATTATAAAGTGCTATTGTGGTGTGTGTCTTTACAACTGACGTCGGCACACTAAACGTATTACACAACTTCCTTTCGTAGTATTTGATTATATAACGTACAAAACGCAAAAATTTATAGTGGCTATAAACCGAGCGATCGGCCCATCGCCAACGTAAAGGAGGGAAAACGGAAGGTGAAAACAAGAAATTGAAACTGGTCAGACATTATTTCTTTACATCATCCGGAACCTATGGCAGGGCAGTGGCGGTGATTACGGGGAGCTGTCGAGATCACTATGCAAACTACAACTTATAAAACTTTCTTTTCTTGAAGCGCAGCAAATTTCAATATACAATAACAAAAGCGCAGATCGAAACGACAACAACAATAACGCCTGAACTCGTAGTTTACAATAAGTAAGTTGGTGTTATAATGAAGAAGAGCAACAGCAGCAGCATCAGCGTCGGCTTCGTCGACAACAGAAGAGCAACAACACCTGTTTATCAACTGAGGTGATGAATATGTCAATGTGTTTATATTTGTGTTCGTGGAGTTCGATAATTTTTAGTTCGATCATCTTGCCAATAGCTCCAACAGACAAGGAGAGCAGATGCAAATGAGCCCTAGATAGTAACCACAGACGGTGGGGTGTGTCGGTGGTCAACACTTTGCGCTGCGCATGCGCTCAGATTTAACCAAGCGCTGGCAGTAGTCAGAATCCACTGGGTTAAGGAAGTGAAGAAGATATGAGCCAGTCAAAATGGGAGCGAGAGAGAACATTGAGCAGCGTTGAGCGTGGGAGAGCGTTGTCACAAGTAGAAGGAAAGTCGATGCACGACTTATGGAGACAGCAGCGTGCTTGTCTTACTCTCTTATTTGCTTACTTCATGCGCTTTCGCGCGCGCACACCTCAGTCAACATGAGCAATACGCGCACGCGGAAGGTAACACTTAAAGCTGAGCAATTACGCGACCATACTTGGGTATTTACGACCTCTTCAGCGCCATTCTTAATAAAATGAGAGGAAGAGCACGGCCAACGCTAATATGCGATTGCGCGAAGCGGTCACTGAAGGTTTGCCGTTAGCTTTGTAACACCAGTGGGAGAGCGTCTTCCGTTGAGGGCTTTTTTGGGACATTGCTGCTCAACAACACTGTAATTGTTTTTGCCTTTGTTATGCGCACGATATTTTACTCGCTTTCGCGCTGGTGACGCCTTGTTCACTACACACGCCGTGTTGACGCTATGCTGCATGCATTGTTGTTGTACGTATGACCACACCAATGCCAACTGACAACGTTTTGACGGCGCTCAACTTCAGCAAACGGTACTCATCTCACACTCTGTTGTCATTGTCGCTGCCGCCATGCATGTATTTGTGTTTGTTTTTTGCATAATTTTAAGATTTTTGATGATTGTTTGGAACTGTTTAAAAACAGCCTGACATCGTCGAAAAATTATCAAACCGCAAGTTGTTCCATTCGAATAAACACACAGTGCAAACGGTGGTGTAGTAAAAACACGAAAATTAAAAATTTTCAAACAATTTCCATACTGTCCTGTTCGACAATAACCAACAACTACAACAATATGAATTTATATCTTACCGCCACCTGTATCCTGCTGCTGTCCGCTGGTGCATTTGCCGATCCCATTAAGGATAATAATGTCGTCACACCGGCTAGTGGTTTTAATAAGTGCTTAGAAGCTGATTCTATCTCGTGCCTCCAACTAACGGTACGAAGTGTTTAGCATAAGAACAAAAAATGCAAATAATTAAAATACACAGTTAAGAACACATACTCGAAAGCAATTGATGAAATTATTTAAAAGGTTGATAAACAATAGAAATGAAAGTGAAAATTCAATTAAAAGTGATTTCCGATTTGTGCACATAATGGAGAACAACTCATAGAAAGCATACAAAACTTGTGAAGAGTGCACATTACTTGAAATTTTCCAAAGTCAAACTGTTTTTGGGTTTTCAAGAGTAAAGTGTGTTCAATAAATAATATTTATTTTAAAAGAAATGCCGATAACCTTTGAATGATGATGTCAATGGTTTGATAATTGTTTAAGAATGCTAATAGATTTGATCAAAAAGTATTATTATTTTAAAGGCCTAATGATTATTTAAAACGTTGTTTAAAAGTAACATAAATTTAAATGACCAAAAAACGATTTTTAAGAGAAACCTCAAATGAATTGAAAAAAATTAGTAAAATTTTCACCATGATATTTTATATAAAAAAAAAAGTTTATTAATAATTTAAATTAATTTCATAAAATTATTCCATGAAAATCAATTAATCCACAAATAGTACCATCATTAATTTAATCTGTTTAATAATTTTTCTTTTAACTGAACTGAACCGTTATTAAACCTGTATTTCAATTTTTTTTAAATAAAAATTTCATTTCCGCAATTCAACTTAATTCCACAATGTTTTAAATGAATTTGAGCATCACTGTTTTTCCATACTTTTTGCTTTTAAATGAATTGCCATTTTTACTACTCAACTTTACAGTTTTTTCTTGTGAAAAATTGCAAACAATTTATTCGATTATATTATCATAATAACTAATAGTTCAGTTTACTTTTCAATTTCCACAACCTAATTTTTAATTAATTTTCTTCTTATTTCTTCCAAACCCTCTTCTCCGACCGCACAAATAGCTTTTCCGCAAAGCTAAATCATTCTTTGAAAATCCACAAATCGAAGTCTTCGGCGGCGTCTCACTCATCAAATCCAACGAGGGACGTCAGGGTAAATCACTTGATGACAATGCTGTTGCCGTGGAGGCTGCACCCAGCGTTGAGGCACGCACCAGCGAAATGGGCACCTACTTCATGAATCACGCTAAGAACTTCTTTGCTGAACGTTCGTTGAACTTCAACTTTGCCAATGCCGCACGCTCGGTGGCACGTGCAATTCCCGATGACATCAAGGCTGATTTGCGTGAATTGGTTGTTGAGTCGCGTACCAAGAAGAAGAAGTTGTTGAAAAAATTGTTGCCAATCTTATTAGGTGTCGGTGCTAAGATTGCTGTTTTGGGTGTCGGTGCTATCTTCGGTCTGCTCTTCTTGGCCAAGAAGGCGCTCGTTGTTTCTGTTATTGCTTTCTTCTTGGCCTTGGCTGCTGGTGCCTCAAGTGGTCTGAGCCGTTTGGGCGGCGGCGGCGGCGGTGGTCTGCTCGGCGGTCTCGGCGGATTGTTCGGCGGAAAGAATTCCGGCAGTGCCAGCGCTAGCACTGGTGGTTGGTCATCGGGCGCTGCTTCAGGCGGCTGGTCATCTGGCGGTAACTCCGGCTGGGACTCCCATGGTGCCTACAGCTCGCCAGTTGCGCAAACAATCGCCTACTCTGGTTACAAGCAAGCCAGACGGTAAGCGCACCGCATGGAAGTTGAAGCGCATTTTGCTAGCATAAAAGCTGCTGCGCTGAAAAGCCAAAACAACACTTAGGGTAATGTAAACAAACAAACTACAAAATATAAACTACAAATCAACGAGATATAACCAGTACATTCATAAAAATAATATTAATCCCGCTGCCGCGGCAGTGATATTGCTAGGAAAGCATTACGAAGCAAGTAATCGATTCAACGGCACCCGAACTGCAACGAATTCATAAGAAAAAACTTTATTTATTATTAATTTATTTTAATTTATTTATTATCGCATAAACATATATATTTTGTAATGTATGTAATGAAATGTAAAAGGACAAAAGGAATGAAAGACGATTGGAACAACCGAACCCAAAAACGAATCTTCATGTGCCTGAGGCAGTAAAGAGTTGGTCGGGAAGTGAGATGATTGTGCATACCTATACATATTAACGCATAACTGTATGTTAATTAACGAATCGCTCCAGCTCACTTCATTCTTCATACTGTACTGACCCTCATACTCGTTCAACCATCTAATTTCATGATTTAATTAAATTATTAAGCGAAATATTGTTATGTACTTGCAACAATAAGAGTATTTGGTGTTTTTGTAAATGCGTATTGCGTAATACAATTTTGCACTTTGCTGTTGTAAGTTGCATTATTACAACACACAAAGTTCACCACGCGGAGGCTATTCAAACACAGCCATATGCAAACAACTACACGCATATGTAATAACGTGAAGACAACGTGAACGTACAGACAACTCATGTCACTTCAACCTTTACAACAAATAACATAACGCGCACATAACTCTTTCACTTAGCACATATCGACGAACATCGAACAGAAACCGCGCATGTACCTACTAGTCAGCTGATTGTGCAACTTGCAACTAAAGAACAATGAAAAATTTACCGAAGCAGAATCATAGCTATCAATACTCTACTCAATCACCATTTTCCACTATGATTTCACCTTACTGCTCTATATACTTTTTCTATTTTGTATTTTCCGCTCCTACCTCTGACTTTTTCCGCTACTTTTTTTGTCTTTTGTAATTGTTTTCTTACTTTATATATCACTTATCACTGCTATATCTACTATAGATTTATTATGTTAACTTAAGATCTTATTCTATACTCTACTTATTCCTATCTGTATCTCTATTTAACCTAAAGTCATGCACTGTACTTAGCATTTTCTTTTACTGCACTATCATTATCTTCACTCTGCGTTATGTAATACTATTTACCTCTTACTATCTTCTATCTATATATCAACTGTTTACTGCCCGCTATTGAAAAAGACTACCACCAACTGAAAACATCCTTAAAAAAAAACTACATATACAAAAGAATGAATAATAATTCATGTAAAAATTAAAAAAAAAAAACATTTATTTTCTTTAAAATATTAGATTACTTCTGGTTCTAAAACATCAAATATTACTTGTCGATCATCTTTACAGTAAATATCCACACTTAAAGAGATTAAGAAATAGTATTTTAAAACTAAAAAATTTAGAAAAATTAATATATACTGATTATTAATTTATGTACTTAATTCTACACTCATATTCTTTGCTTAATAATATAGCTTTTATACGTCTTTACATATTTTCCTAAAAATCCTCCAATTCTTAGCGAAATTCGATTCATTCACTATAACATTGTACGAATTATGTACTTGCACATTCCTAGGGTTTTAAATTCGTATTCCACATTTCAAATTTCCATGTCAAATGTTTGAACTAATTGAAACCCGCTTTCTAACTTCATAGAACACAAACACAATCAACAAAGCATTTGATAATCAAAATATTTTAATCTCATAATAACCGCTCACAGCTTTATGGATTTAATCGAGTGCATTTAATGGCAAATGTTAAAGCCAGTGACAGATCTATGGGGGGGGGGGAATTGTTTGATTGTCGAATATTTCTTTAAAATCCATAGCAATTAATAGCATTGAACTTTCTGATGGAGCGTTAAACATAGCGCTATCAGCATAATCAAAAATCGATAACTTAAAAGCGAATTGAAATTTTAGTACACCACTATCTCTTTGTTGACTCTCAAGCCCAAAGAAACTTACATTCATGGTAAATTTTCTAACCAATAAACGATATTCGCAACTTCAGCACATTGAAAATCACCCTACACTTTCATGCTTAAACACTCGCCATGCATTTTACAGCACACGTACAAATTCCTCAGTTCATGAGCATCAAAAAAATCAATTAATGACCGATTGGGTTTGAGAAGCAAAGAATGCATACATATGTAGATATAGATATAACACAAGTGGAATTTACCGCATTTGAAATTCAATTTCACTCACCTTAATTTGCCTTATTTAAACTATCCATAAACTTTCCTTTGAAATCATTAAGTATCAAATAGATATGTATATAAAATTGCGACGCTCAGCTCACCCACACACCTCACTGCCCCACTTTTGTCGCAACACTTGCATGCTAATCAATTCGCGCTCAAATTTCATTTACCCAATTCTACGCCAACTTTATGCTGATTGCAATAATCTATAATGGTCATTTGTTATGCAAAGAAGCCACAAAAAATTAACAAAATTCACTAAATCATCGCTACTCAAATTTACCCATTTTGTTTTGCACTTTGCTTTTTGTTTTCGTCTTTATTCCTCACAACACTTCTCCTCCTCAACCTAAACTACATTTTGAGCTCCACTACTCTTATTCTGCTATCTCACCGGATTTGGTACTCTTGCAATCAAAAAATGTTTCCACATTTCACATTCACCTATAGTCGCCTTCTTAGCATTCATTAGCTGCGCATTTTCGCCGCTCATAAAATCAAAACCAAACCGAAACAATTAACTCTCCTACATATACACATGTTTATCTGCAAATATTAACAACATGTTTTTTTTAGTGCTATTATTTGTTGGGTATACGTATGTCTTTTCTCATACAATTAACTGATATTTGTGGATATTCTAGGAAATTAGAATTATCAGAATCAGTTCTCATCCAGTTCGAAGAGTTCTAGTTCGATTTTTAGTCCTATTATATATAATTTTGCATAATAGTTTGAAGAAGGATAGGGTTATCGGCAAAATTTCCCTTAAATACCGAGTACTTATTGTACATGCATAATCTTCAAATACAAATGTACAACAATCAAATGCAACAGCACATAAGGTGCAAAAGTAACAATAATATACGCATAATGGCAGTATCGCATAAGACAAGTAAATGAAGAAAGAAATATACCAATAAACAGTTTAAATATAAAAAAATATAAAATCTTGTCATTTTTTTTTAAGATTTATACGCGTCAGATTTGTTCAATAATTAGAACATTAGAGTACTCAGTACCCTTGAATGTATGTCTATATATGTGGTGTAATTTTTTGCATACAATTAAAGCCGGTTAGTAATGCCGCTACCAGCGGTGCAAACAGGGCTTTGCGAATGATGGCAGATGACAGAAGAAAAGCGTTTACTCAATTTTAAGCAGTTATTTCACACGCAAATACTTTCTGCCCGTATTGATACCCTGCAGGTACACTTAAGTTGGGTAAATATAGAAAATATTTAAAGAAAGATGGTAAAATTGCAAAAGAGCAATATTGGACGCATTGATATAGTTTTGAATTGTATTATGCAAAACTTTAGCGTAATAAGTACTTGCGTTGAAATTGATCCTGTGTTTTAAATCGGTCCGACAACAGAATCTGGGTAATACGTTACTAGTATTAAAGACTATATATGTACTATGGCAAAACACCAAATAAAAATATGTTTAATTTTTAGAATATTTAAATCGTGTTTTACTGTTAATTCTCTACATTGACTCTTTTTGTGTCTCTCCAACTTCCAAGAGTTTTTTGTTGCTATTGTTTATTTACACAATTTTCTTTTCTGCACTCTGAAACCGTTTTAAGGTGGCATTAATGACACTGAACATATCTACTGCATACATACTGGTCGCATTTATACAGGTCTAATAGCGGTCCACTCATTAACATTTAGAGAACAGGTTTTGGTTTTTATTAATGTAACATACTATAACGTTTATACCCAACTTACAAGGTACGCAAGGTTTTTGCTGCTTTGAACTGATTTGCTTATTCCTTATAGCGCGGTATATTTCTCTATTGACATGAAGCGAATACCACCCATTTAGGGCTATATGTTAGATTTTATAATAATATCCAGAAATTCCATCCAAGATGTTAAATAACTGGCTTAAAATATTACATTACTATAAAGACATCAAGATTCCCACATTAATGAAAAAAAGGCAATAGCACTTTATGCCAAATTATTGTTCTTGCCCTTTTTTTATTAAAAAACAAAATTATTACACTGGCTACATGACTACTATATGAACAAAGTACACGGAAGTTAAAATTTAAGATATTCGGGGGTGTTGTAGAATCTGATAGTTGTCGGAATCAGAATTGAAACCGATAAAAAATGTAATAGGTGTCATGAATTCAGATATTATTGGTTTGACGTTCGAAACAGAAATGGTATCGGTTTTGGGTGTCACGGAAACCAATTTTATCGGTTTTGTTATCAGAAACAAAGAAATAGGATTTTTGCTGACAGAATTGAAATGTAAGTGAAGAAAATAATTTATATTATTGTTACGATTTAATTTATCGTTATTTCTATAGGGGAAAACATAAGTATAAAACAAAAAATGTCATAATTATAGAGTTTATGGAAAAATCAAGATATTTAAAGAGAATTTACAAAACGTAACAAACGTAATTTAACACCCAAAATTTATTCAGTCGTTAATGTGATATAAATCTGTAAAGTAAGCATGTATACAAACATACAAGTAAATGCAAGCCAAATTTCACATGCGACTCCCCTGGTGCATCAAGTGGATTACTGTGATCTTTTAATATATTCCTTTTATTTTTTTTGTTGCTTTTTTTTCTTCAAATAAAATAAAAGCTAAAATAGCGGAACTCATTGTAAACTTTAGTAGACTTCGTTCAGCATTTAAAATGTATAATTCATTTGAAAATTTTGTCACATTAGTAGACAGCTGATTCGAATATTGGTTTTGCATATGTTCGAAAAGACGCAAATCCAATCAGATTCTGTGACACTATTCAAAATCAGAATTGGTTTGCAATTCTAACAACTACACAAATCTGTTTTGAATTCCACAACACCCCTGATTGAAATACTGCTCTAAGTGGCTTTCAAATTAAACAAAATATTTAAATTCGAATTTTCACTCGAATCATTCAGACTGTGACAACAAATAACCGAACATTACATACTATTGCAACTTGCAATGAATAAAGACGGAGGAACACATACAGGTTTTGGCAAAACTTTATATCAAACTTAGATAAGTTTTGCCATGATTTCATTCATTTAAGGTTATTAGAAAAAGATTCTTTGTGAATTTCATTAAGATTTCTTACGTATTGACCGATAGATGCGATATAAAGTGAACCTAGGATCGAAAATATTTAATGTTAGATATAAGGGGCTAAGGAAAGTGTTGACCTCATTTTAAAAATTTTTGGCACAAGTTATAGTGAGATTTCAACAATTTTTGGACGTAAGATGAAATACCTTGAGGGTACAATTTGTGTAAAGCTTTATTCTGATAAATTTTTTGGTGTTTGACTTGTATACTCTAAAGTGAAAGAACCTTGTTGTATAGGAATTAGGCGTGGTTGTCATTCGATTTCGCATTACATTTTTGCAGTGTCTAATAAGAATGTTGGGTAACCTCACAACCCAAATTTAATTGAAATCGGTCTAGCTGTTCCTAAGGTATAGGATTTCCCCTAAAGGTGGGTGGTGCCACGACCATTGCCCAATTTTCATGTCAGATCCTATTTAACCCTTCTCTACCATCTTGACTGTGAACTTTAATGCTTGTGGGTCATTGATTCAGTGAGTTAGCGCACGTTTAGTAGTTTTCAACACAACCGTTATATGGGAAGTGGGCGAGGTTATGACGTCTTCTCACCAACTTTGGTTGATATATATTAAGCGGTTTGGAAGATATGTACATTAAACCATTTAGAAGACGGAGGCACGCCCACTTTAAAATTTTTTTAAGCCCACAGGTGTCGCTGGCTACTACGATCTTCTGTACCAAATTATAATTTTGTATCTTAATTTGCAGCTTAGTTATGGTTTTTTAAAGGTTTTCGTTTGACGGCGTTTTGTAGGTGTGGCAATGATCCGATTTCGCCCATCTGCAATACTAACCTTCCTTGAGTGTCATGAATTTTTACTCAAGTTATCGCTTACTCGGTCAGACAGTCAACCGGATTTCAAATTTTCTGGTCATTCTGATCATTTTTATATACATAACCCGATATCTATCTCGATTAGTTTTAGGTGATACAAACAACCGTTAGATGAACAAAACTATTATACTCTGTAGCAGCTTGTTGCAAGAGTATAAAAATATTTACTTACATAGTCGACGGTTACGCTGATATCTTTTGCAATTTTGTAAATAAATAAATACCTAGTAAGAAATGGCTAAGTGCGAGTGCAACCGCACTTTAGATGAACTTGTAGTTTAGAGAATATTTCGAGTTGTCTGCAAAACTTTGTTATACAATACTTGCATAGGAATTCAAGCTTTGCTCTTCGGCTCTCTTTGTTTCATTGAAACATCTTGAAATCTTTATTATAAAGACAACTTCGTTAATAGAAATTTGGTATATAAGTTGAATCAGTGTCACATATTCTTCGCACCAAAACACATTATGTTTAATAAAACTGCCTTAAACTTGATGTAGATCTCGGTGTTTATCCCCACTTTTATATTTATTAAGTAGTATACCCTACTTGTATTATTATTCTAATAGGTAAACTATGATAATGGAGCACGAGGTGGTTTGTTTCATAAGATCAAGTAATTTGAAAGATATGAAATTCCATATGTTTAGTGGGCTTGGTAATGGTCGGATCCAACCCCTATATAATAACAACCTCATGTCCGAATTTTTACGGGAATTCATCATTTGAAGTTATATATAACTCTATATCTATCTCCAACAGTTTTAAGTCTTACACAATCAAATTTTGGGTGAGAAAAACTATTATACCATGGACAACATGTTGCAAGCAAAACAAGAAACAACCCACCGAAGTTAGAATATCATTCACAAATAAAGAAGTTCCCAAACAAGAACTTCATTTTTCGTGATCGTTCGGTTTTTATTGTAGCTATATGATATAGTGGTCTGGTTTGGAAACTTTTTTTGGGTCATTATAGCTTTGCCTTATCGAATAAAAAATACATGAACTTGATTTTGATCGTTGAGTCTTTAGTGTAGCATATTATAGTGGTACGATCTGAAAAAATTCTTCAGGTATTATAGCCTTGCCTTTAACAGTAATTCGTGTTAGACCTTAATTTTGATCGTTCAGTTTGTATGGCAGCTATATGCTATAGTGGTCCGATACCGGAGGTTCTGACAAATGATCAACTTTTTGGGGGGGAAAAAGACGTGAGACTAGTTCCCGTTAATACAGACAGACAGATAGACAAAGGTAAATCGTTCGTCAGGTTGATCATTTCTATATATATTTTATAGGGTCTGCAACGCTTTCTTCTTCGTGTTACAAACTTCGTGGCATAGTTAATATACTTCGTTCGGGGTATACAAATTCTGTAGAAATACCTCGCCTTTACATACATAACTGACATAAATTCCGTTTTCTCGTCACTTGTCATTGCGGTCATTACTAACTCTTCGTTTTAATGGTCCGCATAATGAGTCAAGAGCGCGTGCGCAAACGCGCACTCAATTAGCTTGTTGCTCCCTCAGCGGCTGTAACTTACCTTTTCCCTTTTATTGTGGCAATACAACGAACAAAACGGCGAGACGCTTAATGTATGGTCAAGCATTCACTAAAAAGAGCTTTCAAACAGAGCATTTTGTGCACGTACAACTATGTATGTCTGTATAAATGTCGTACGCTTGCACGAGAAGAATGTGTGCCAAAGTTTTTTTTTTATTTATGCCACACAATGATGATGAATTATTTAGCAGAAGATGTTTTTTCCCACTGGGGTTGCAAATAATGCATAAAAGAGAGAAATTATTAAATAAATATTTGAATGATTTTTTTTTATTTTGTAATCCCAAATTAAATTTTTAATACCAGTTTCGGGATTAAGAAATTAAAAAGAATTGTAATCCCAAAAACCAAAATTTTAATGCCAAATATCAGATTAAAAATATAATGATCTTAAGCATAAATTAAAATATTAAAATATACATTTATTTTAAAATTTAAATTGTTATCAATTTTTAATTCTGATTTTGGTACTAAAAATTAAATATTTTTATTTAACATTAAAAAACTCACTTAATTAATATTAAAAATTTTAAAACTTAATATTAAATTGAAATCCGAAATCGTAATTAATAATTAATAATATAATTTTTTAACCAAAAATTTTTAATTAAATAAGTCGCAACCATGTTTTCAAACTCTCCTAAATTTAAAAGATCTCTCCTATGCCACATTATTCATATCTTCCATATTACAAAATTGAAGTCGGTATGATTGATAGATTGTATGTATGTGAAATCGAAATAGTACATATCTTATATTTTGCGAAATACCAGCGTTATGAGTAGTATTCCATTATATAACAACAATACCTATATTGATCGATCAACTATTATCAAATAGATCAAAAACTATTTATATCCAAATTATCCAAACGAACATATATTCACTCAGGCTGCTTTAATTATGCACCGTAATATCTGAAATATAAAACAAGATTTGATATTTGCCACA